TTTCAGGGGAAGAGGCATGAAAAGAATGATAGAGCAAATATGGCAAAATCTTAACAATTGATAAATCTAGGTAAAGGATGAATGAGTGTTTATTGTTGTAGCAGTGTTATCAGTTGTATCAATAAACCGCCAAACTTAAAACAAAAACAAAAAAAGAATAATAGTGATAATGATTCTGATTATTATGGTGATAGAAAAGAGCAAGGGGAGAAATAAAGTCAGGTCCCAATTTACACAAAGGAAATTATTTTATTTTTCATTTATTTTCATTCCTATACTGAAAAAACTGAACTACCATTTCTAGAAATTATTTGTCATATCAACTTTAAAATCATTGAACACACAGATTATGGATGTTATCGTACTCAAAAAGAAACTAGACAACTTCCTTTTCAGTCCATCAGCAAATATTTTCTGAGTGTCTGCTCTGTGCCTGGCTTATTTTGAGACATAGCCAACTCATTTCTTCCAGCTCTAATGTTCTGTAGTTCTGTGATGCTAAATGTCTAAATACAATAGCTACTGTAGCTCAAGGCCAAGTCATATTGGTTGCTGTCAGCTTGGCATTTCCTAAGCATCGACTTGGTACCTTAGCTCCTGGATTTGAATGTGAACATTAGTGAAACCCTGAAGGCAGGGACACAATTAAGCATCCCAAACACTATTGCTAGTAGGAGAAATGAAGGAGCTGCATCATCTTTAATACATTTTCATGGCTATAATTTCTCTTGAAATTGTTTTCAAATCCTTTATTTTGCATGGATAGTTCCAGAATCTTCATTCTAACAGCTACATTTCATTCAGCACATACTATGGGACAGACATTGTAAATAGGTACTTTACCTACTTCATCTATAATCTTTGCAACACGCATCTTGCCCCATGGTCACACAGTGGGTTAAGTGGCAAAACTGGGTTTGGCACAGAGCTTTCTGTTACTTGAAAGCTTGGAGACTTTCCTTTACACTGTGTTACCAAAACCTGAATCACAAAGAGGGAATCTGAGGAAGAGTATAGCTGGGCTTGCTTGCCTTTGTCATCTACCGGACTTACCTCTCTCCGCCAAATTAGAAAGGACAAATAAAATACAGTTTTTTTAATTCCCCAATCTTGTCACTTATCCTGTGGTTCTGCAATTAAATCTTTGCTTTCCCATATGCCAGCCCACCCTTCCAACTCTTTGAGGGCAAGGGAACTTTGTTTTATTCATCTTTATATTCTCAATGCCTAACACATACGCACTCTATAAATATTATTGAAATAAATTATTAATGGGCCCAAAGGAAAAAATGGTTATAGTAATGGAAAACAAAACATTTTCTTACCTTTTTTCTATGTACTAGATGCCCTGTCTTCACAAAAGCAGTTTTCTGATATGCTGAACCCACTTCTCACTGATTTGGCCTGTGTTTAATTGAGCTCAATAGAATAATCAGAAATCTGAGTCTGGGGCTCATTTAGCTATGCTTATAATAGAATCAGAGATTTATGTAGCCTGAATTTAGTAGCATTTGCATAGTATTAGGAGTCTATATTTTGCTTATTATGACTGTCATAATAGCAGAACATTTTTTGTTGAAAGCTTATTATGTTAGAGAAAAAGATTATTTTATGATTATTGAGTTTCCCTTTTGAAAGCTACGGGGGGAGTACTCCTAGCCTGAAGATCCTCTTCTGATACTCTTTTTATCATCTCCTTTCTCACAGTTTAGAGCTTAAAGCGAGAATTTTTTTTTAAGTGTGTTTTCGTGGCATCTCATGTTTAACAGTGTCAGGGGTTTGTGTCCCTGGAACGAAAACTGTTTCTCCAGAGCCTTTTTTCTCTTAGCTTCCAGTGAAAAGAGGGGCGAGGCGAGCCAGTCGCTTACCACAAAGCAATGCCACCACAAAGGAAAGATTAAGGGTTTAGAGAGAGGTCAATGTGGGTTTTTCTCTAACTAAACACTTTCCTAAAGTTTCCTTGTGGAAAAATAATGAAGTCATCTCAGAGTTTTTAAAGAATTTTTATTTCTTTTTCACCGTCTGCATTCGCTTGTCTTCTCAGCATGGATGTTTAATCTTCCTAGGCTTTGTGAATTGGCCCAAATGAATAAGTGGTGAGCTGTCTCTCTAGGAGCTAGAGGCTTATTCTAAGGGCCTAATCACTGAGTAAACACATCTTTGCCCTCCCTCTCACAACTGCGATATAATAGTCGAGATTCTAGCACAGTAACCTGGATATTGCAGGGACCAATGCTTTGAAATGCAGAATGGTTGATCCTCCAAAACAGACAGTGCCTGATCTTCGCCTGCCTCTTTCTTCTTTTTTAAATTAAATATTGCCAAAGAGATGCTGTTTTATTGCTTGATATTGTGCGTTAGTGCCCTGGATTTCCAAGTTTAGTTTCAGTCAACACTGTCGGCTGCACTTATAGGAACTCTGCTTGTTGGGTTTCTTAGTAGCCTCTTCGGCACATGTGTGTTTGGTTTGGAAGAGCATTTAAATTAAATCAGTGAGATAGCAATGTAAATCGCTAATCTCTCTCCCAAAGTCTAAATGTTCCCTTGCAGTGTTCTTGAGAGAAATAGGCATTTTAAAGATTTAGCCATTGCCATTGTTTGGTTAGAAATACGCTGATTTAAAAGTGGACAGCTCTCTTGTTCCCAGTGTCTCATTAAATGTAGTTGCTGAGATACGATCAAGCAGAATTAGAGGTTGACATGCCTCTGTCTGTTCAGCTAGAGAGCTCTTAAGAAGAAGAGCTCTGAATTTGTTAGTGCTGCCAGGTTGACTTTCCTTTGCCTAAAGCAGCAGATTTCTAGATTTGTTTACTGAAAGCGATTTGGGTTACTGCTGCCATTTGGTGTCTTTTGCCAGGAGACTATGGTTGACATCGGCATTCAAGTTTCTTTCATCAAACATGCCGAGACTTCTGCTAGTTTAGGGATGCAAAGAAGACTGAAAGAGACCCAATCTTCGCCCTTGAGAGACTTTGTCTAGAGGGGAAACTGGTAAACAGTTATAATACTAATGGGAAAAGATAGGGGCCCAGAAAAGGAAGCTCTTAACTTTTACTGCCTGAGGGAATCAGGGAAGGTTTCATAGAGGCATTTGCTTTGAGCGTTAAAGGATGAGTAGGAATTTACCAGATAAGTATCTCTCCAACAATGTATCTGATTACAAACTTCCTAGAAGCCAGCTACATTATTTGCAGACAGCAACATAGATGAAGAAACCCTGAGTCTTTCTGGTTCTCCGTTTTATTACTGCTGCTTCCTGCTGGGCCTGACACAAAGGGTATTTCAACAAATGCTTGCTGAATGAATGAATAAATGAACAGACACATGGAAGCAGCTACTGTTGGAGTAGCTGAGCTACTTACACTCAGGAATCCTGTCCTTGCTCCCATTACATGCTGTCTCTGAGGCCCTGAAAGCACTGATGTGTGAGTGGCCAGTCCGCTGTCTTCATATTCTCTGAGCACTTCAACCCTTGACTAGTGTGGTTGATTTCACTGCTACAGCTGTAGTATCAAAGAAAGAACGAGGCTGGAGGCAGTCAATCTGAGTTCCAATCCCAGGTGTACCACTTACTAGTGGTGGAATTTAGGACAAGTCAACTTTCTAAACTTCAGTTTCCTCTTATGCTACTAAAGTTAAGAATACTATTTGACAGGTTTATTCTGGGGATTCAAGTAGATAATGGGTATGTAACTAACAGTACCTCCTATTCATAGTAGATGCTTTTGGAGTCTTAATCTACCTATGTACCTCTGGCTATCCTCGTCTAGTACAAAATTTACCTTTGAAGAAAATATTTTAATGATTACTTTTTTATTATTATAATTTGGATTATTTATCAAGACAATTCCAAGTATCAGACTTCAATAACCTTTCATCAACATGAGCCTTATATTTTTCTATAAATGTCCTTCTTTTGTTTAGAAACCCACACAGCGAGTCTTTCTTTATCATCATCACATCCTTATTTAATATGAAAGGAAAGACCCTAAGCTTCCTGGAAATTTTCCTTTGCCAGAATTTCACAGATTGGTTTTCATATTGTCTTTATCATAAAATTTTATCTTTCCATTTCCTAGTAACTGACTGTTCTTATACTCAGTTCTTCTACAAGGCAGCACCAGGAGGTTAGTCAGCAACAGTTTAGGCTCTTTAATTATAATTGTCATTGTCGTTAAAGCTGACATGTTGCAGATTATGTTGTTCAATTTCAGTTTTTAGTTTCAATTATTTTATTGAATATCCAACTATGACAGAGAACTTTTAAGAGAGCAGATGTCATTTCTTGAAAACAAGTTTTATCAGGCAAAAGGAAAAGAATAATTTTCCATATTATAAACTACATCGGACATTTTCTGAAATGTTTCTAGTTTAAGAAAGAATTCATGTGAAGTGAACATTTTTCTGTCATCCTTTCAAATGACAATTAGATGTTGCATGCTCTTAAATAAGGACTTTAATATGGGAACACATTAAGGGCTTTAAAATTATCTGTAGAAACTAGAACAAAACTTCATTTTAGACCTTTTCCTTTCAAGTAGAAGAGACCAGATTAAAAACATAAAAAATATGTAAGAGAGATTTTGGCATCCAATCTTAATCAGTATTTTTTCTCTGTATAGTTAAATAGTTCAAAATTAATTTTCCCTTTACGTATGAAGTATGTATTAAATGTGAAGAATGGCAAATCCATTTTATGTAGAGAAATTACAATTGTACTGCGATTTCTTCTTGAGATAGGCTTGCACATGTTAACAGGAATCTCTGACAGCAGTCTGTAAAACGGAATATAATCATCCTAGCCTCTTTAGAGTATAAGGAAGCAAAATTTATTCGTATTAGTAAATGCTTTAGGAAGTCCAAGTGTCAGGTACTCTTTTAGGGAGTAGCATTTAATTTTTGGCTTTGCTGTTTATATTGATTGATTATGCCTTTCCAAATTTCAGGAAATCTTACATTAATGGATATTTTAATTCATCAGTCTTTTCTCCTCTTTTCAGAGAAAGCTTCTTGCTATCTACCTCCACCATGATGAAAGTGTATTAACCAACGTGTTCTGCTCACAAATGCTTTGTGCTGAATCTATTGTCTCTTATCTGAGTCAAAATTTTATAACCTGGGCTTGGGATCTGACAAAGGACGCCAACAGAGCAAGGTAATACTGTTGTTCACAAGTTATAAGTTGGGCTTCTATTTTTTAAAAAAAAGTCATCACTGTATTTGGTTTCTTATCTTAAGCATTTTCGTCCTCAGCATTAAATTCTCTACCATTACAGTTAATAAGACAAAACCTATTTCTTGTAGCAAACATACGCAGTTATTTACAATTGTGAAAATATACCTTAACTTATAAAAGATTTCTTAAATTCAAGAATAACCTGAAAACCAAAACCAAAGTACGTTGTTCTTGTCATTTTGCAATAAGACATAGTACATTTCTATGTACTGTATGTTCTAATATGTTGTTGAACATTTAGAGAAAATCTGTGTTTTTAATAATGTTCAGAAAAGGCAAAGCAAATCTAACATATAATCCTAGTAGTACGTTTATTTTTTAATACTTCTAGTGAAGAAGGCAGGACGTTCTGGACCAGACCAGTGGAGTTGGTAATAGCTTAACTCTAGCATATGCTAATTGATGTAATCGCTTTATTGCACACATTCTTTTGCACACATCATATTCTCAATAGAAAAAAAAAAATCCCTTTCCTAGCTGTCAGGATAAATTTACTTAGTTTGTTAATCATAATATCTGTAAGTGATGAATAATTCTTCATATTTTGCCTATTTGAGTTTCCCATCTGAAATATATTTCATCATGTTTAATTACACATGTGGCCATAACATCCCATGATGCTACTTTGGGCGTGTTAACACAATCATAATCACAGGCTGCTGGTTTATGAACAGGGAGATTAAATTAATTCATTTCAAGGCAAGCCTATTGTAGTTACCTAATTTAAATGATTATAGAACAATTAGAAATCATCTGATTTGTCTTTTTATTATTTTATGGCTCACTGAAGTTTTGCTCATCATTCAGACTTTGTTTTATGTAATCTGAATCTGAAAAGAAAGATGATTCTTCCCTTAAATGTGAAGCAAAAGAATGTTGAAGCAATTTCTCCACCTAATACTTCATTTCTTTAAGCAAATGGTTAGGAAATTTCACAGGATGACTTCGTTCTGCCTTGGAAATGTTCCCTGTTATACGTAAATAAAGAACCTTTAGCACCTGTATTTGTTTAAATTAAATCAGGTCATTATTCACACTCAGTTAAAGGTGATGAAAAGCAGTGCCAAAAACAGATAAAAATGCAGCATCGAAGGTCTTTCATAAGGCAAAATACATAGACTGGAGACTTGGCTAAATCTTTTGCCATTCACTGGCAGTAAGGAATCCCCTCCTTTCCTTTTATCCACAACTTGATAGAGAAGGAAACACTCTTTCTAAACCATCTGTAGTGGCTAAGTTCAGCGGGCTACCTGCTGTTATTTTGTTCTATCCTCCATTTAATTCCTTAGTTCCTTTTATTTTACAATGACAAAAAATTGCAGTGTAGTTTCTTTTGAAAAACAGTGTTTGAGGGTTTTTTTTTATGACTGACAATCAACAGCCATGTAATTGCTTTGTTATGTTTTACTAAAGAAGTCTGTTAAGTAGCATAACTTTGATACACTAGTAATAAGAGTTTGCAGGTTACAGAGACACCTGTGGTGACCAAAGCGACAGAAGCTGCTTATTAGAAAGAGCCGGTACAGCTGTGTCCTATTAACTCCTTATGACACTTTTTTAAAACACAAAATAAAGGCCTTGTTTAAGGCTTTAGAGCTATTTCTCAATGAATTGCAGGACCGAACTATGAAGTATGATAGGATATTTCATTCTACATTTTAAAAAACATGGCATCCTGTTATTAAGTTACTGTCATGAAAATAAAAAGAAATGATATTAAAGACTGAAAATAGAAACATCTAGGAATTGAGTTTAATAATCATTTGTAGGAACAAGAAACAGGGCAGTGGGGAGAAAGAATGTAACGATTTTTGGAATTTAAGAAACTTGTCATCTTTATTCAAAATCAAATTCTATCCATATTACAAATTAAAAAGTATTTTAAGTTAGGGTATTACATTTTTCTCTATAAAGTAAAAAGTAAAATTATATCGCTACTTTTCATATACAGCTCCTTATTAGTACTGTTAAGGCAAATGGGAAAGTACAGTTATGCGTCATTCGGTGATTTTGTCGTTGTGTGAATACCACCGAGTGTTCTTACACAAACCTATATGGTACAGCCTACTACACACCTAAGCTATATGGTACGAATCTTATGGGACCACTGTTATATATATGGTCTGTTGTTGACTGAAATGTCGTTTTGCAGCGCATGATTGTACACGTTTTACAAACACAAGATGAAAACTTGGAATGACATATTCCTAAAATAGAGTAAAAGATTTCCTTTTGATATATGAAATTGTAAGAGAATTAATTAATTAGGCTGATTTATTGTCCCAAAAAAGGAAATTGTTAGTTTAGCCACAATTTTCTTACCACCTATCATAGATTCATCTAAAGAAAATTGTCTAATTGAGTTTCCATTTCTGTAATCTTTCTTGGATTTTTATCACCACGTTTATCGAAAGGTATTTGTCATAAAAATTGGTGGCATCATCCATTTGATACTATTAACAGTAACAAAACCTCTAACTTTCCTTCTCAATTCGATAGAAGACTGCTGCACTAATATTTATTGATCAGTGGGCTACCTATCAAAAGTTGTTGTGTCATCGTTTGCATGTTACCAGAGAGTTAAAATGAGACAGTTTAATATGTGGAAATACAGAAGAGATTTCTAGGCATCACAAATAAGATTGTTGCTGTGGGTTTCCTTTTAACTGTGATTTCTTTATGACAAATGTAAAATTTTGGAAACAAATTTCTGATGGATGGCTTGTCTGGTCATATATCTGGCTGTCCTAGTTCAGGCTAATCATATAAATTTTGGGCCTGCATGCTATTTAGTCTGGATGCTTCCTTAATGGTTTTCTGGGACTATCCCCTGATACGATAGCTGGGGACATTGATGCCCAAGATGGGAGGGGACTTGCTAAGTAAATTTACTTTTTTTTTTTGGTGAGGAAGATCAGCCCTGTGCTAACATCTGCCAATTTTCCTCTTTTTTTGCTGAGGAAGACTGGCCCTGGGCTATCATCTGTGCCAATCTTCCTCCACTTTATATGGGATGCTGCCACAGCATGGCTTGACAAGCGGTGTGTCGGTGCACGCCCGGCATCTGAACCGGCGAACCCCGGGCTGTCACAGCGGAGCACATGCACTTAACCGCTTGCGCCACTGGGCCGGCCCCATAAATTTACTTTTGTTTAATAAATATTCTGATTAAGCCTACAGAAACATTAGTCTTCCACAATTTACTGTGAATCTCTCATGTATGTAGAAGATAAGTGAAGGATTTTGAACTAAGTGAGTGCTTTGGTAAAGTTAACAGAATATGAATGTCAGTTGCTATTTTAAGTTAAATTTTCTGAGTTCACTAACAAACCAAAATAAAAAAGAAACAGATTTCTATAGAATGTCGCTGTTATACACCCCTGTGATGTTGATGATTCAGATTTCCCACCTCCAAAATGATTCTAATAACTTTCTAAGTTGAATACTTAAGTTAACTAACCTATATCTGTATAAAGTGGATTAGAATAATTTCTAGATTGATCTTGGAATATTCCAAATATGAACTGAGACATCACACTTGAGGAGCAATGATTATGTGCCTGTTTTCTCCCTCACTAAATTGTGATGTTCTGGAAGGGCTTATTCATTTTATTTGTCTCATTAAACAAGGCACTTTACAAAATTTTAGGAGAAAGAAACTCAAGCATTTGGCAAGTGAATTCCACCTAAGAACGTTGCTTATAATGTCATTATTGTATATCTAAATGGAGGTTTCTTTCTTGGAAAACTCTGTACAGTCTTGTTGGCTGCCATGTCTAGTTGGATTTCAGGGAGTAGGCAGAAAGCCTTGTTAGTTTTGAGAGGTGCTAGAGGGTATAATTTCCTAAATATCCATCTGAAAATTGATCCTGATAGTAACAGCAGGATATACCTATAAATGAAAGAGCTAAAAACAGATAATAGTAAACAAGGAGATCCTGCAAATCACTTCTGGAATTGGCTAAAAAATATCTTAAGAAAGGTATATTTCCTTCATGTTTATTCACTGAGTAAACATTTACTGAATGTTTAATATGAACCAGGAATGGTGCTATGCACTGAGGATGAAAAGTTGGAAAAGATACAGTGCGAATGCTCAAAACATTCATAGTCTAGTAGACAAGACAGACATGAGTTAATATATAATGTGAAGTCCATGCAAGGTGCTTTGGGAGTATGGATGAGGAGACAAGGGAGTATGGATGAGGGGACAAGGGAAGGACTTGAAAGAGATGACACACGAAAAGATGGAATTAGAATTTTACTCTTTCTATTAGAGATTTTTATATTAGCAGCATTCCTAGTTTATTGGGTTGCAGATGCTTGCTATTTTTACAAAAGAATATTGGTATTTTAAACCTCATAATTAGGTATCTGAAATGAAAGTTCAGTGGTTTACATAATTGTGGAGGAGAGAAAAAATAGAAGCTGGCCAGCTAATGTAATCCTAAATGGTCTGCACCGGATTGAGGATTAAGGTCAACCAGTTGGGACAGACAGATCCCAAGACGTTATTTTGTTAATGATTCATCCCAGTATTGGCATATGCTTACAGGCAGACAGTGAAGCAGAGATCAGATACTCTTTTGGATGTGTAACATGTAGAAAACCATCATGGATTTAACTAGTACAATAAAAATATTTTTAGCACAATATATTCTTAGTGAATGAATGCTTGGGCTAGGAAAGAATAATTTCTTAAAATTCAGGACAGATATCACCTCTAGGAAGCCTTACCTCTCTCCATCCTTCTCTTGCCTCAGTCCAGGTTAAAATGCACATTCTTTATGCTCCCATAAATCCCTATACTAACTTGTATTGATGGCACTCATTACATTGTATGATCATTGTCTATCTCCCTGCTAGGTTGTCAGCTCCCCAAGGGAGCTATCTGTAATCTCATTGAGTTACACAGGGCC